CGCAAGGTGCGCGCGGGCTGTCCGCTCGCTTGCTCGCTCGCACGCCCGCCCGCGCTCAGCGATCTGTAGAAATTAATCAGAATAGAACGTAATTAAATGGTTGTTCAAAGAATAGGTCGCCCCAACCGGAATTCGAAATTGGGCCTTGTGGTTACGCCCAGACGCTCTGACAACCAAGCTTCCCAGACAACCAATCTTTTTGAACAGTTTTCATTGGCCATATATTGCCCATTGTACATATACTTGTCACTTTTCCTGTCACCTTATTGCTATTACGGTCGGAAATATGTTCCGCAATCGTAAAGAAATCCGTTGCTACTGAGTAACGATGTATTTTTATTTTTAATTATACTCAAAGAACCTGGATATCTTTGCGATTGTGGAACACGTTTACGACGTAATCGCATGCAATACGGTGATAATTACAAAATAGAACATTCAGATTCTGCCATTAATTCACTGGTAGTTTTTCCGTGGTGTCTCCAATCAATACCTGGCGAATGCCTGAGCAGTACTCCAAAAAATTCGCTACGGACCACGCGCGATCTTTCCTTCGTCTTCCTCGTCCTATCCTAATCTCTTTCGTACATCCACACTCACTTGCTCTACACTAGCTTGCTTGTTGGGAGACCATTCGGAAGCATAGCTTGTACTGGATGGGGCATTGCAATGCTGGAGGGAGATATCTGGAAGCCAACGTTGGTCGGCGCCGGACGTCGCCATCCAGAAGGGGAAGATTACCCCACCGCCCGTGACAAAACATGCCCTCAACTTACGGGACTAATGATCTTAGCATTTGACGCGCCCGCGGATTCACTAATTAATTAACCAATCTTCTGTTAACTAAATTAATTATATCCTGATATATAAGGTAACTAGAAATATTTTGGAATCCCAACTTAAAATGCAGAAACAATTTTTTCTTTTCCAATTTGTACTACTTTTTTGTTTCCCAAGGTCTTTAACTGATCATTTCTTCAGTCGTCAGTGGAAACAATTGAGGCTCTTCTGTTACTATTTTGTTTCGGTGTACAGGTCAACGCTTGAAATGCTTCTTTTGTTACAGCGCATAAAGCAATGTCGCACTTGCTAAATTATTGTTACACGGTCGTTCCTTACGAGCGTGTAACGTCGACAGTCCTTAACAAGCCAGTTTAAAAATGCGTCGTCGACAGTTACCTTAACAAGGCAGTTTATGAATGCGTGACGATGTCTCCTCCCGCCTGGCGCTAAATCAGCCCCACTGTCTAGAGAGATTGTGCCTGACGCCGCCGCCCTGCGTCGCAGGTGGAGCGGCCGCCGGCGTTCAAGCCGCCCCCGGTCGCCATGGAGGGCTGGACCACGATGCGCTCCTCGTACACGGTGCCCGCCTGCCCTCACCAGCGGGCGTCCTACAAGCCGCCCCGCTGCTTCAGGCCCTGCGAGCCCTTCGAGGTACTCTGCCCGGGCCCAGACAGGTCGCCCGATTTCACTTTGGTTTAGGCCGGGAAGAAGTTGAGAGAATTTGTTTCAGACTAGTAGAGCACAGGGCCAGTGAAACGTATACATTTCAAGTGGGTAGGGCAATGGGGAAGAGGGGCACATATTTAAGTCACGTTCAATCACGTCTTCGCCCAGTTTTGCGGTGCAGCTCGCAATAGATGACGTGCTCTAACGACCAAGTTACGGCATGAATAATGATATCTTGCTTTTACTCTTGTTACGAATCGTACATTCACTATCGTACTATAAATGTACTCTTTTGATCACCGAATTGCATCGACGGCCACAATAATTTATCTCATTCAGCCTGCAATTAATTCACTATGTGGAAATTTTTGGTCCGCACAATTCGGATTACGTGATTTGGAATATTATTTGAAACTGATCCATACGATTGAAATATCTATACGGATACAAGAGGGGTGAATGGTTTCGAGTTATGCTTTGGTGGCTTCTTGTTAACATGTGGCAGGCTTTCTTACACGAATGAGATACAGTCTACAAATATTCTTTTGAAAACATTACGTCGTTTTCCTGTGTGTATAGTTTTTGCTAGCTTTATTTAAATCGATTCGGCAGATTTACCAACTTGCAAAGGAGATCAGTACTTCGGCGAAAATAATAACGAATCGAAAAACAATCCAATGTATTTTATTTCACATTTGTTACATAGTGGGTTTTTGTCTCTTTTTCAACTTTTTAAGGGTTGAGCTTGATTGTTTTTAAATGAAATAAATAGGAGGTACTCAGCAGCTTGGGTTGTGTAACGGTTATCATATTGAGCCGTTATATCCAAATTCAAACTGGTTCAAATCCTATCGAAGCCGTTAAAAAATTCCTTCGTGAACTTTCCTTTGAGGGCGGGGAGTAAAGTTGTCTGTCCATGTTGTAAATTTACTATAAAAGATCATTAAGCTTAAAGAAGCCACTGATCTAAATTGAAATAGCGTGATTCTTCGCCCGAGTGATTCTTTCTTTCTCTGCTAGATGGCGAAAGGAGTGTAGCGAAATTTAAATGGTCAGGCGGAAGAGCAGGCCTGATGGTCTGTCATTGATTGAATGAGTGATGACACAGGATTTACCCTAGCACGACCAAGGTATAAAAGGCCCCGATCATTGCCTAGGGGGGACAAATCCCGAGGCCCACCGATTTAAGTTTAATTTTATTGATTTTTTGAACGTTTTGGTAAATACTGTAACTAATAATATACGTTCATTAAGTTAAAGAAAATGTTACTCAATTTATATCGCTTTATATGAAAAATATTAATTTTCTCACATCAGTATTTCTGAGAAAAGTTATTACATTTTACGGCAGATAAAGATAATATTTCTTCCAATCGTAGCAATGAATCAAACTTCATTATATTGTACTAAGACTCAAAATAGTACAAATATATCCAAGACGTATCCTGAATGCGCAACTTTTTATCCACAGCCGAAGACACTATAATAACACAAATTATAGTCAACACGTTTGATGAATTGCATCGTAGTGTGATTCAAATAGGTTATCAAAAACAATGTCTATGGTTTTCAGCTTCCTAAAAAATTTAAACATATAAAAACTGTCAAATCAAATCTAAACTGTCTTATCAAAAAATCATAATGCTAGGATTATTGCTAGGATTAATGCAAAAACTACCTTTTCAAACTTTCCTAGCGTTTTTAAACGTTAATCTCCCAAATACTGGAATGGATGCCACCTGCTTACTATACAATTGGTGTGGCGAACGTGCTATTAGTCATTTCCATGTTATGTGTTGTTGGACTAGAGACTCGGCAAACGTCAATACGCCAGGGCAATTGCCAACTAATTATGTACGACCCGCGGCAGACATGTTACGATGCAAAGCATATGCTCTGCATTGAGCGACGATGAAACAGGGAAGGATGGATGAGACCAACAGCGAGGGAAACGTAGAACGAAAGATTAGGTAGTTGCAATTACTGAATCGCTCCTCTTCGTTTTCAAAATATCGTATTTTTGGAGAAGTTTCAAGATTTTAAAGGGATATCGAAAATATAAAAGAAGGGTAATGAACGTAGAAGAAAAATAATTTAAATAAGGCTTAAAAGACATTAAAGCAAGTCAACTAAGTTGTACTTGTACACATATCTAAATCTATATTTTTTCGGTGATCAATGGAAATAAACGAAGTCTTCTTCAATTATTACTATTAACAATAATTGACAATACGCGAGAGAAGGATCCAGCCTTTAATTAAGCGTTCGTGATACCAGATTCTAGGAGTTTCATTTCTCAGTTATTTTGTACTATTTGTCAATATTCGGTGGCTGATAGCCTTCATAACGGGTGCTTTAAAACTCTACATATTTACTTCATTGTAGTTATTCGCTGACTTCATAGTAGAGAAAACATTAAAACTCATGTCATTTAATTGAACCTTAAAATAATGTTCATGTACTCTGTAATTTGACAAAAAAAGTCTTTTTTTAAAATTATATGTGATCTCTAAAATATTGGAACATATATTTTGTTTGTGATTGGATTACTCATATTCAATATTTTAGGGTTTAACGTACAATTATTACATCGGTTCAGAATTAGCGTGTTGCCACTATTGTATTGGGAGTGCGGTGGAATTACAAATACTGGTGCTTTCCCGTTCGCTATGCTCTACATTGCATGTACTGCACATAATGGACAATTTACCGCATAGGGCGGTAGCACTGATGAGGGAGACCGATTCCCTAAATTGTGCTTAATCAAATATTGCTCTCTGTCTGCTAATGTTGTCATAATGAATGGAAATATAGCTTGTTGTAGTGCTGTTAATTTTAGAGAACATGTTCCAGGTTCTCTGAATAGTATTTAGTCCTGCAAGCCAGTGAATTCTTGTTTCTAACTACAGGAGAAGTTGCCAAATTTCTGTATCTGGCTTACCATTTAAACTATACATCTCCGCATTTCGTTACTGAGCTGTTGTGTTGCGGGATCGTTTATTGATCAGACGTGTTGCTGGTGCTTGTGTCGGTAAATAAAGTAACCTTTGTGCGGAATTACTCGTGCGCTTTCATTTCAATAATCCAATGCATAGGCTCGAGGGGGGCAACAATTTTTCTGGACCTCATTATTCGTTTATTTTTTATTTACAGTATTTGTGAATAACATTATTATGAAACATTCATTATGTACAATAACATTTTATTTGCATAAATATTTTTAGTCTATTTTCGAACCTTAAATATGTACTTTTAAGCGGATGTTGGAGGAATAATCTCTGACTTGGGAGCAGTTTTCGACCGTTTTCATTTTTTGACGCATTTTTAGGGGGTTCTGTAGAAGGGGGTTGACCCCATATTAGACACTTCAAGGGCTCACATTTCAAGTCAAAAATTCCTTCACACATTCCTTCATTGTTGTGAATTTTTGTAACACGAAGTCCGATTATTTGGGTCCATTGTAATTCGTGTTAACGAGGGTGTGCTGTGCGCCTCCCCCCCCTCCACCCACGGTCTCTGGTGGCGTCTTGCAGGAGACGTCGGTGGCGCGCATGAGCTACCTGCCGTGGCCCATCATGCCCAAGGAGGTGTTCCCGTGGATGAAGAAGCCCGTCTACCAGCCGCCCACCAAGAAGATGAACGCCGTGTCCATGTACAGCACCACCTTCATCCCGCCCGGCTGGTTCCAGCGGGAGCCGTGCAGGGAGGCGCGCGCGACGCCGCAGCTGTGCGCGCCCGGCTGCTCTGACAAATGCCCTCCGCAGTAGCACGCTAGCTCATCGTGACGCAACTGGTCGCACAATGACAAGTTGGAAAAGAGTTACATGTAACACGGAATAGTATTCTGTCATTGCTTCTTATTACTATTTCTTTCTGTCCTATTTCTAACCATTTTTTAAAATTCTTTTCCTTCGACGGAACTACGTCTAGTAGCCTAAGCTCGTACTTAGTCAATAATGCTTCCGATTCATTATTTTCGGAAAACAAAAGATTTGTTTTCCAGGCTACGTTTTTCAAGCTGATCTCTCTAACCCGTTGTATCACTCCATTTTGCCTGGATGTTTTGCATAAATTTTTTATCTGTAACCCTCTTAAGATTTTAGGTATCAACGGTGCACCCACTCCATTAACAATAGAAACGGTTCAGATGTTACCGTTGCATTGATTGCACCTTAAAAACGTTTGATCTTGCAAAACCAGTGAAACACATTAGGGCGAACAGTTTCACAAAGGATTTGTGCAGTAGTGAACACGTTTCGGCGATATGCATTTTTCTCGTTAATTCAGGGTGATGAATTGCTGTACTGTATGTTGTGAAAAATAATATACGTTATTTATTATTTTTTATGTATGTAAAATGCAAAATAAATTAATAAATATTTCGAACTGTTTATTGTGACCTTTTACTGAGTTATTAAAATTCCCTCATGGGTACATGCCTGCAATTAGTACTACATAATCCTTGACAAGCACCAAGAAACTATCCCAACTGAATAAAAAACTATTAATAACAATAGTTATAATACGAGTAATAGTAGTTAATAATAATAGTAGTCAACAATAATAGTTAATAATAGTTGTAACTATTAATAAAAATATAATAAGTATTGTATTATTATTTTATTGTTGCTGTTAAACTTCACTGAAAGTTGAAACAGTACGAGCTACAATAATAACATAGTGTGATAACAGGAAAAAGAGGAAAGTTTTGTACATTTGGTACACGCACATTCCATTAATGGAATTTCACAGAAAGTAAAAACACGATCCTTATTCGAAATCATAGAATCTTGATAAC